ACGGTACAACAATTTCATAATAAGCGTGAAAAAATCTCTCCTTACTAGGCTCAAACTCAAGTTATCTCTTCATTCATACTCACACCCACATCAGTTATACATTGATAAAAAGTTTGAGATTATCTTGTGGTCCTAAATCGAACTCCTTTTTTTCTTTGTTTAGAAATATTCCAATTCAATTTCCGTTTATTAACTAATTCAACAATAGACATGAACATCCCAAGGAGATTTTGTCGTAATGTGACAAGTCGATGATAGATGTGCTCGAAATCAATCAATTAGTTCTTCATTCGACGCTTTATTGCCATATTCTTCTGCACAGATTATCGTTAATGCTCTCAGTTTGCTCATATTTCGAACAAGATCAAGGACACATATTCGATTCATTATATTGATTTTCAGAATTTCACATTGCATTGCAAGAGGTGTACGGCTTAATTTGATACACTCTTCATTATTGAACCATTGATGACTAGATAATTTAAGTCCAGATGGTTTACTGATACACTCTGAATGATGCACAGTAATTGTTCAAGAGCTTCATTGGATGGTTAGTCTATTATTAAAAGAGAAAGATATGAGACCTGATCAAACAATGCTTGAAGTTGCGCTATGCAATGTTCACTTGTATCAAATAATATCACAAATAGTGAAATCAATCGATCAACTTGTGGGACTATAGACCGAAATTGGTCATAGGCTAGCAGTTCAGTGTATTGCTCTTAAATACTGAGAGAATGATTGTGAGATGAATCATGATCTTCAATTGGATCATAACCATAAATAAGTGACTTCACACAATCATATGAATATTAAGATCATAATCTTTAGAAGCTGTCGATTTCGACAGATAAAGATTACAAAATGACATATCTGTAAAGTGATATGGTAAGGTATAGAGTAATTTCGTGAAAATAAAATCGATCGCAATCACATCGAATAAATCATCGACGTTCATCAAGCCAGAAACGATTTCGAAATAAGTTAAGGATTTCATCGAGTTTTAATTTGTTGACTTCAGGACTACTCATAAGCTTAAATGTCATAATGAATTCTAATATTTTCAGCTTTGGTACATATTCTCGAGTGATTTGTTCCCATTCTTGTCCGCTAACAGAATCCTTTATAAACACTTTTAACTGAATTACTTTTGGCATCTATTTTACAAGACTTTCGATCTTCGAAAACAGAATGTGTAAAACCTTCAATACTGTTATTGATAAAAAAATTGATGAGGGCAGGAATTAAGAACAATCGCCAAATCGATATAAAGGTCGGATATTGGATGTTTTTTTCAACAGTTCAGTGAGTTTAAATTTATTATTATAAATCGCTAAAGATAGATGTTGAGTATTTGATGAAGTTAGTTGTGATGAAAAAGGCTCTTTGCTTTCGTCGACGACTAAATAAAAATGGATAAAATAACAGTGAATGAATTTCGGTAAATGCCAAATCATGCTTATCGATGAAAGACTGCGATCGTGTCAACAGAAAAGATTGGAATGCTCCAATGTCAAATGAGTCAGATTGAGTAAGTGAGGCAATGCCGACAAAATTCTATTTCTCGTTTCTTCTGTATGTACTCTATATATTGTCAGCGAACGAAGTTGGGTAAATTGTTGAAGACTGAATCAACAACCGTAAAATCGATTGATTTGGCCTAGTGTAGAGCTGTTGTCTGAAAGACAAAATATAGGAATTTGATCGATGATCGATGGAAGATATTGTCGACAAATAGTATCAAATCCATCTTTCGATATTGATCGAAAATCGACACTACGAAAACGAATATGATCAAGAATAAGAGAATTGAAACGAAAATTAAAACTGTGAAATCTACGAATACGTTGATCTAGGCTTAAAAAGTTGAACAAAGATTCTACATGATTGACAGACAATAAAGTTATGTAAAGAACGAGGTGTAGAAGAGCTGTTTTTTAGCACGAGATGAGCTGCATTTATTTTTGATATTATTGATGTTCCATTGACCAGATGATTTATAACAATAATCACTGTAATAAAAGAATATTTTCGATGGACAATATACCGGTGAACCTTGTAGGCAGAGAAGATGGATGTGAATATGTTACTGTAAGTATTCATTTCCTGTATAGCCACACCCACTAGAGAGCTGTGGATCCACGTTTTTGTGGACTCGAACCTGGAAAAAATTTAAAACTTGGATCCAAACTCGAGGTTTTCTCCGTCAATACCTAGTATTCTTTTTGTACGTGAACGAAGGAATTATCAACGTTTTAGCTATTTATTCGCGACTCTAAGAAAAAAAACTCAACGTATACTAACATCGTGGTGCTCTGTTTCTTATTTATGGAGCAGTAAGTCGACAAAAAAGTGTAAGTGGACCGAAAAAAAATAAAAACTTAGACCCGGTCCTGGTTCTCACCCAAGAAAACAAAATTAAATTTTGAATCCGGATCCAGGTCCGGAAGGAACCGTAGCTCCTTAACACATACGCTCACACCAATATCCTCAAATTTTTGTATTACAATACTCGGTGTCCATAATGTTATTGCATTTTCTATTTCGTATTTATCTCGGCTTATGTGAACGATAAGACCTTGAATTCTTTTCCAAAAGATGCGCCATGAAAAGCTCTATAAAAGTTGTAGGATTAAATTCTTTTTTATATGTATTAATGTTCTTTTTATTACACTCAAAATGAATAATTCACATAACCCTGTCACTTCCTATCATACTGAAAATGTTGTGAAGACTTTTAAGTTCTCAAAAAGATTTGGAATACATAAATTTTGTAGAGTTTTCGACAGCACATCTTTTAAAAAGAAATTCAATATTTCATTGTTTCCTCAAGTCGAGATATGTGCAGAATAAAACAGTCTTTCAACGTTTTCAGTATAGTAGACAGTGACAGTGTTATGTGAGTTGTTCATTTTGAGTGTAAGAAAAAAACATTAGAACATATAAAAAGGGTGTGGATATAGGTGGGATGTGAGCTTGATTTTCCATTCCAGCAGCCACACCCATACCCACATTCAAGCTTCTTAATTGTTACTATCCATCATTCTTCTTTAGAGATCTTCTATCGATTGAATTGAATTGAATTCGAATAGCATTCATTCAATGTGTCGAGTCTTCTATTCTTTTACGAAAAAAAAACCCAGAAAAATTTCTCGTTTGATTATCTATTGGGTAAAAAAAATTGAAAATGTTTATTACAGATACGATAGCAAAGATCAATGAAAACATAAATATTTTTCGATGACAGCTGTTTTCATTTAGCTGGCTCCTTTTTTGTTCGTACATACATATTTGATTTGGACGTATCAGGACATTCGTTATTGCTATCGGCTAGTCAAGCGAGAAAAATATCGGTAGTTATATATTTGACCTTTCTATTGACATCGACGACGGATGTACATTATTACTTGCACTATAAATGACTCCATCCCTCGCTCCTGTATTTCATTAGTTCACTCAATAAGAATCATACATTCTGAAGTAATTTTTCTCTAGCGTATACCCTTATTAACTGAGAGCTTCTGCGGTTCGAAGAAGCCCTAACCACCAAGAGACGAGTGAAGCACTTCATCGGTCCTGTCAACATTTGTGAAAGCAGTTATGATCAGATTATCATTAATTCCGTCTTCGAAATGCCATTGTAGAACCAATGACCGTTCATAAGTTTTATTTGAGAACTAATTATAATGGCATCGATCTCAAAACCAGCATTGTAATATTTTACCGCGAAATAATCGTGCAAAACTCCTGCTATAATCTTTGTTACATTTCCAGAGAGAAGAATAATCTCGAACTTCTTTGTTCTATTGCTCATTCAGATCAGTCTTGAAAAAGTTTTTCATTAGTTTCAATAATTCATATTATTCAGAGATTAAAAAGGCACTGTAGCCAGTATCGTCTACAGATGATCTCCTGTTATGGTATACAGAATCCTCCATGAAAACTACAATAGTTTATGTTGTGACAAGTTCCTACCTCATGATGAAAATTGATCGACAATCGAATCTAGGTGTAAATTCTATAGCAAAAGAGTAATACTGAGAAAAGGACAATTTTCTTGAGTAAAAATCTACTTTGACTCGATTAGAAAATGAGATATATTCATAGATGTATCTCTCTTTATTCCGATTTAGATTGAGCTAAAGTGCTGGCAATGGATCATTTGAATACGCTAACTCTCCACATTTCTTAAAAGAACTTTTTTTGCCAGATCTGAATATTTTTGTATTCTTCATTCAGTTTGCAGTTCTAGCTCTGTAAATTAAATAATTTGCACCAAACATCATTATGAGTAGCTTTCATTCATCTTTGGTCGCATTCATATTGAAGACAGGACAACCAAATAAACATGATTTATCATTATTTTCTTTAGTAAACTTTTATTAAATGTTTTCTAGATAATCATGCCTTTCTTTTTCGATCGACTTCCAGTCGAAATTGTCTATATAATTTTTAATTATTTATGGGCTCATGAAATTCTATATGCATTTTATAGAATTAGCGACTATTTTAATCGTGTTCTATCGCACTATGATTATTTTTTGATTAATTTCGAATCGATTCGTAAATCTCACTTCGATCTTGTATGTCGTCTTATTAAACCAGAACAAGTGATTTCGTTAATCCTGTCAGATAAGACAGATACACCCTATCAATCTTCATGGTTTTTATCGATCTTTCGAAGGAAAAACTTTACTCGTTTACGTGCATTAAAATTAATTGAAGTGAATGACAATAGTAAGTCATTCTCCTTTGATTTATACAATCTTCAACATCTTGTTTCTCTTGAAATCGACGTTAAAACTGATCTTCCATGGATTAATAGCATACCACCACTAAAAAGGCTCTCTATTAATATTCTATCATGTGAGCATTTTAATATTAAACGATTGACTACTAGGATTTCATTTGAACAACTACATCAACTATCGTTATCTAATTGTCCCGCCACGGAATTACAACGAATCCTTAGTCAAGCTATCCGACTCACTTCACTTAAAATGTCATTCAAATATTTAAATAATGAATATATCAACATATTAGCCAATTTTCATCAAGAACAGTCAACAAAATCGACTCTCGTTTATTTGTCATTGTCTATTGATGTAGCTCGTGAGTATAAAGGTCATATAAAGCAATATTAAATATTCTTTTTCGTTTTTTTTGGTCCAAGACTAACTCATGTTCATCTCGAGCGATTTCTTGCTCCATTACAGTGTTTACGACGACTGGAACTGGTTATTGCCTCTGATGCAGAACGTCAATTTCTCGATGCTGGTCAATGGGAAAATTTTATTACTGAATATTTGCCACGACTCATAACGTTTGAATTTAAATTTTCTTCTGAGTGGCGCATTGGTCAATATAAACTTGATCAGTTTCGTTCTCCATTTTGGCTCGATAAACGCTGGTTTATTGCTTATGATTCAAGTCGATCGTGTCTCTTTACTGTACCTTACTTTGTTCCAACTTCGATTAAGCATTCCTTTGTTCCAGTGTCAACGAATCTTACAACATTACCTATTGAACAACATATGGTTTTTTACGACCGTGTTACTGAACTAAGGCTTCAAGAGCATCTACGATCTTTACCTTATCGTTATAATCATGTTAAGACACTTATTATCGACACATCTTGTACGTACCAGAATATCATCGACCTATCTAAAGTACAATCATTAACTGTAGATATTTCTACTCTCCCACTCTCGAGCCTGATGACTGTGATTAAACGATCAATGCCTTGTGTTAATTATCTTAGTCTGAATGGTTCCTATTGGGAATTGAGTTCTATGTATTTTACTGGTATTTCTCTGGAACAAGTTCGAGTATTGTGTTTATCTCGATATGCAGATTATCAAGGTGATAATACAGACAAGTGGTCTCGACTTTTTCCACGCGTAGAACGATTGATTGTTTCAATTGTTTCGAAAAGTCAAAGTCCATTATTAATTGATCAATTCAAGAACATGGTGAGTGGTTTCTTTTACATTGATCCACCTGACATTGAGCCACATAACAATGATCCATTGTACGTTGATCTATCTTACATTGATCAAATTCATATTGATGCCTACAATCAAATTCAAGTGACACATGAATGGTTAATGGAACATGTGAATCGTTTTAGGCAAAGCAATATGGATAATTTTACTTATCAGATCAATGAAGGGGATCGCCTTTCATTGAGTTTATGGATTGGTGAAGATGATAACGTATGTAGATAAAAATTGTCATTATAATCATATTCTTAAATATGATTTTATCTTCGATTAGATCAACAAATTCAAATGGTACTGACAGCCATTTGTGGAGTTAATACTTTTCATTGTATTAGGCGAAATACACAGGACGAAATCTATTTGTAAATTTATCTTATTTCACTTTTTTTTTGTTTATTGAAGTTTATCGAAAATAAAACGGATGTTAATGCTTAAGAACGTCAACTCAAATTAGATCGAATCTTCAGAATACATTGCACAAAACTATCATTTCTTGATTCAACTCATTCTTGTTTTCTTTTATAGATATTCCTGATTATAAAACTAAAAAGCTGTTAGCGCAATCCCTTGCGGGATTAAAAATGTGAAACACGATGGATCTGCTGTTACTAATTAAATGGAAATCGTTTTGTTCTATTTCTTTGCAATACATTTGTAGCTAACCGTTTATCTGATGCTTTAGAAGTACAGTTTCGCTGTCACGGTCTGTGATGGGTCCAGACCCTGTCTGCCACGGTCTGTGATGGGTACAGAGCTCTGTCTGTCACGGTCTGTGATGGGTATAGAGCCCTGTCTGTCATGGTCTGAAATGAGTCTAAAGCCTGTCTGTCACGGTCTGTGATGGGTCTAAAGCCTGTCTGTCACGGTCTGTGATGGGTCCAGATCCTGTCTGTCACGGTCTGTGATGGGTCTAGATCCTGTCTGTCACGGTCTGTGATGAGTCCAGAGCCCTGTCTGTCACGGTCTGTGATGGGTCCAGACTCTGTCTGTCACGGTCTGTGATGGGTCTAGATCCTGTCTGTCATGGTCTGTGATGGGTCTAAAGCCTGTCTGTCACGGTCTGTGATGGGTCTAGATCCTGTCTGTCACGGTCTGTGATGGGTCCAGAGCCCTGTCTGTCACGGTCTGTGATGGGTCTAAAGCATGTCTGTCACCGTCTGTGATGGGTCCAAAGCCTGTCTGTCACGGTCTGTGATGGGTCC